AAATTAAACCCGACCTATTGTTCACCCAACCCGAATGTAACCCGACCTGTTATTAACCCGACCTAAACCTGACCCAAACCCGATAAGAAGTATGACCCGACATAACCCGACTCAAGCATGACGCAACCCAAACCCAACCCGCATAAGTTATGGAATTAATCTGACCCGACCCGAGTTGACCCGACACACTCTTACCCGACCCAAACCCGACCCGTTTACCCGAATTGACAGCTCTACTTATGATCAATCTTTTCTACATCAAAAGAGAATACAAAATTTTGCAAAAATATATAATGCAAGATAGAAGCGAAAGGAAAAAGAGGATCTAAGAGGATGACCACAGGAGATAGACTCTGGAGGCAGCCAAACCCCTATCCTTTAGGGAATGAGCCTTTGATTTTGTTGTTTCAAAACTCTTTTAAAATATCAAAGTATGCAAAGATTATCACTGCTCTTTCTCTAAAGTCAATGACATAAAAATAAAAAATAAATCCCACAAGTAGTAGCAGTATGTACCTCACCATCGACGATAATGTCAACCATCCTTGGTGGGACGATGATATCTTCAACAAATTTGGCCAATTTTGATTCTGCCATCTATTAAATGCAAAACAAACATTTAATATTTGTTGTTGAGTTGAATAACAATAGACTGAGAAACAAAACAATAAGTTGAATAAAGATCACAAAAGCTACATTATAAGATAGAATCAAGAAAGGAAGAAAAAAGATAAGATCAATGCACAAAACAATTGTGATTTGACATGAGCAAGTACTTGGGGTACAGAGTAATAAATGTATATACCAATTTCAGGATAATTTACAGTTAAAGTTTAACTTTTGAAAGATGAACTCGTAAATGATTAAACTGTTATACCTTACGGTTCTTCAGCTTCAAGCCCATGTCCATTGACTTCTCTTGGAGAACTTTTATGTCTGAACTTATGGAACCAATCTCAGCCTACTCATATCAACAACATTTTGTTAATTTATTAAAAAAAATAATAAAGAAATAAAAATAAATAAAAAAAATAATAAAACAAAAAAAAAATAAAAAACTGAAGGTTACAAAAGTATGGGCAAACCACAAACATTACAAATCACCACAAACTGTCACTTACACAAGATACCAAATTAAAACATATTCTACTGACCTCTCCAAAAATTCACTTATGGTTCGTAAACAATAGCTTCATAAAAGAAGTTCTTCCATACCTGAAATCCGCTTAGAAGGGACTCCATCTGTGACAAGATGGTGTCACAGTCACGAATTTGATCATGAAGTGACACAAGATTATCACTTTCTTTAATATAATCCTGCATGGTTAAGAAGCAAAAAAATCTTGTAACCTTCAACAATTAAACAGACTTCAAGTATTTGAGGAAAAGAGCTTGTGATAGAAAATTAAATTAAGGCCCTGTTTGGTAATTAGCTGGTAGCTAATTGATATAGCTGGTTATATTATTAATTGGCTTGACTAGCTGGTTGTAAATTACTGGTTATGTAAAAGTATTTGGTAAGTAGTTGTTAATATTAGCTGTTTAACTATTTAAGTGTATGTAATAGCTAAAAAGTTAAATATCCAATAAGCTAATTTTAAAAAGCTCTTTTTTGAGCTTTTTCAACATGAGCTTTTTCAACAAGAGCTTTTAAGCTTACCAAATCAGGCCTAAATTAACAAGCACAGCGAGAAAGCTATTTAACCATTTAATCAATGTATAATTTCTCAAATATGACTGACAGGGGTAGAATAAAGGAAGGTGTTTGTCACAAGGATAAGCCACAATTCCATGGACCCGTATCACCCATTTTTACGTAAGCCACTCTAAGAAACTTCAGTAAACTTGAAGGCCATAATATACAGTTCAAAGCAGAAAAACTGCAAACACAAGAAGGTGAGTTCCACTATGCAGTCTCTTTCCAAGGTGTAACACCCATCATCAGGAGCATTTTTTTAGTCATAGAGCAAAACCATCAAGAACCACCAGATTAAACCAGGAGCCAAACTCTACACTTCAGCAATCCCAACACTACATTCTCTATGAAGAAACATAACAAAAGATGATACATCCAACAACTCAGCGATCGAATCTGCTGGTAACTTTTGAAAAGCAGAGAAAATCAGACATCTTCAATTGGACTTTGAAACATGCAAAGATTGCAAACCCATCTTTCTTGTTAACTTTAGCCTTTACTCCAACATCATAAATATTGTTACAAAGCCTTTAGGATGATTACACCCAACCCATACAAATAATAACAAATAAACTGTAAATTATTTACCACTTACAGTGAAAAAGAGGAATGATTGAAACAAAAAGGTTGCTTGAATATACAATCAAAACAATACAAACCTGTATAGAATCCAATTCACCTTCACGTAAGTTCTTCTCAACAGTCTTTGTATAGTCACGTAGTTTAATACCTTTTGACAGGATGTTAGCCACAACCTGCGTGGAATAATAAATTTACACTTATTTTAACAGACAAGGATTAAACTAAACCAGGCTAAGAATAAATATAGCCACACAAATCAAGAGCTGAAAAGAGAAGAGATCAGCACATTGACTCATAAGGCCTGTTTGCTTTGAAAATGCCAGGATATAATTATCAACAAAACGCAAGCTGGTTATTCATTCTTCCAAATGTAGGATATGATCAAGATGGTTTTTAGAACAAAAATTTTAGGTAAAAAAGAAAATTGAAGGAAACAGTGCTTTGAAAATTTTATGGCATCAAACCATATGCCAGAAACAAAACTGTTCAGCAATAATATTCTTTACATTCTAACCACAGGGAGAGAGTCCAGAATTGCAACTTGCAACTAATAGTCCCAAATCAGCTTGCTTAGACGGGGATAGACTTAATAACTCCTAATATCTATAACGTGATTTTCTTTTTCCTATTTGATGGATCAACACACACAAAGCCACCGATCACATGATTCACATCACGATTACACCCACAGAAAATATTTTAGGCAATTCAGATCCAAGCTCATCACATATTCCTTAAAGTAACAAGTTAAGAAATTCTACAACAATGACTTTAGATGATAACATGTGCCCTTGATAGTTCACTATATTTCATCAATGTTACAGGTGTCTAAAACAGCATCAAAATCTACAGACAACTTAAGTTTTCCAGCTCATTAGTGTAAGACATTCAACCTCCTTGAAAAAAACCCCACCCATCAACAGATAGTAGAGTAAATCTTCAATAACTTCAAGCAATTTTAAGAAACGCCTAGCTAGTAGCTACACAGATACATCATCATCCACACTCCCAAAACTAAGCCAGGACAACTACCAAAACACGAAATACAAGACACAACTGAGAACCTTACATTTCCCTCTACACATAATAGTATAACACACCTAGCAAGGTTGAAAAATGCTTTACAACTACACAAAAACATCATTCACATTCTTCCAAAAGTAAGCTCTGACAACTACCGAAACTGAAGAGTCCACCTTTTACATATACACCAGCATTCAAGCAATATAACACATAAACAAGATTCGTCTATTAAGACATATTGACTGGTAACTGGCTTCGGTGTAGTGTAGAAAAACTTACTCACTATGCGTTATGAAATCCTAGCTCAATCCATTCCCTATTAAATCGATTTATGTGTGATAACATTGATAATCAACTCATGCCAGAAACTACAATTGGAAAGCAGAGAAAATCATAAACTGTAATCAAAAAACTAAAACTAGTTCCCTACTTCACATTGATCTTGTTTCTCAGAAAAGCAAACATGGTAAACTTGCTAAACTGTCAACTCAGAATTAAAATTCCTAAATATAGAGTGCCCTTACATCATCATGTATACATTCTTCCAGCTCTTGTTGTAGCCCTTCAAGTGACACATCATCACTGGAAAATAAGAATAAATTTTGTGTCATATACTACTAGCAAAACACACAACATTTACATACAATGTGTTACAAATTGCAGTCATCATTCATAGCCAGGAAGCTAACAAAAAAGGATCATGTCAACTATAGTACAACAAAGCTTTAGTCCCAAAAAGATTTCGGGTCGACTAACATGAATCGTCATAAGGAACCATATGCGGTTGTTTATCTTGTACACACAAGAACATGATGTGCATTATGCTTCCTATGTTCTTCCTTACAGAAACACATCATGCTCTCGGGTGTATGATGTAATTTGTGCATTCGGGTGTATACAGACACTATACAAGTTAACTTATTGGGTGATCAACAAGACAGAATCAAAATCTAACCACACCCCAGATCCAAAAACTAGATTGATAAATGATAATCACAAAAGATATCTAATTTCATGTTTCAATCACATTACCCATTTCCTAAAATCGATCAAGGTTACAAATTTTTATAGCATAATAGCACAATTTGATGAATTTATAAGAGAGAATGTTACCTGGCGCCTTCATCCTCCATGGATAAATCTCCCACAAAAGCCCCTAAATCAAGGACCTCCATTTGGGACATTACTTGAAAATCCAAGTGGGATTCAGTTGATATGCCCCAATTCGATTTCTGGGTAAAGTTTGAATTTGATCGGAACCCCTTTTCAGATTGAATTGGGTTAAAAGATGGGAATTGGAAGTGAATTGAAAGTTGGGAGTAGGACTGTAGGAAGGAGATGATTCGTGACGCTTTTTTTTTTTACACAGTAACAAGATTTATATACTCCATAACCTTATTAGAAAGCCACATAATGTGCAATTTACGCCTTAATGATATATGGGGCGTGTTTGACACTAGCTTTTAGTGGTTTGACTTAAACCACTATTTACAACCATTATAAAATATGCAAAAGAATTTACTGTAGCTGGTGAATAGTACTTTGTGGTGCTATTACAGCCTTACCCCTAAAATTAAAGAATTGCCAATTTTGCCCCTTTACTTGCCCCTTGCTCTCTCACCGACTTCCTCACCTTCTTCCTCACAGACTTCCTTCTCTTTCCTCCTCATCTCAAAAAAAAAAGCTCAGAATTCCTAATGGAAAACAAGGAGAGAGAAAATATGTCCTCCTCCAACAATGATGGCGATGAGCTCAAAATCACCGATCATCCTTGAAAAACCATGGCGATGGGATTCGCTTCTTCTCAGTGTTTCAATTTCATCAGTTTTGGCAACGCGGTTGCTAAGGTTCATTTATCTTTCTTGTTCTAATTGGTTCGATACTTTGATGTTCATCTCCTCGATTAGATTTTTACCTTTTATATGAAGGTTGTTTTATTTATTTCTAGGCTTTTCATGTAGTTTTTTTTTTTTTATTGAATTTGATTTCAAATGGTTTCCTAAAGCAAAGATGTTCGGAGGAATGTTCTAGAAGAAACCAAGCAAGGAAGAAGCTCTGCCGCAGCTTCAATCCCACGGATTGATGTTCGGAGCATGGGTTGTTGCTATTCGGGTCACTCCTTATGTTCTTCAGTATTTTTCCAGAAAGAGGAGATTACTTTGGATCTTTGATTCAACCCCACCAAAATTAAGGTATTAGTCTTATAAGTTTTCAAGATATTGACTTTATTTGATTATTAATTTCACTATTTTACGTTATATGGGTGTTTTAGATGTTAAAAATTTAATTTTTGCAAGGAGGAAGATGGACCCAGGTTTGGTGGATTCGAGTTTGAGGTGAAGATACTCGGGTATTATTGGATGTTTGTTCTTTTTTTTTTTTTTTATATTATTTTGAAACATGTTTTGATATTATATTATAGAGGACTAACAGTTTGATGTATCTGAAAGTTTAAAGTTTCGGTCATATTCAGGTTAGCAGTGCGAGGCATGAGATTCTTTTCGAAACAATCCAAACCCTCACCGATTTTACTTTCATATTGACTAGAGCTTATGTTTCAGGCGAAGAAGGATGTTTCATGGATGGTGAGTAAATACCTAGATTGTTTAATTAGCAATCAATTTTCAGGGTTTATGATGCCTTCTGAATATACTTCTTATTTACCAGTCTTTCATGTCATGGATGTGTATGTGCAGAAAATTCAAGGTGAAGGACTTATTGACCATTTATGCTAGGCAAGATTCTAAACATTCAGTTTTTGCTACAAATTTGCTTCTTAAGATTAATATAATGATAATCTGTTGTAAGATAATATGATTCATTTCTGGAAGTAATTTGGTGAAATCTGAAGTAAAAAAATATGTTTTATTACATTGTAATTTATCGAGTAAAATAATATAGGCATAGTGGATCGTTGAGTCGATTCAATTGCTAAAGATTTGCTTGGTGTATTTCTTAATGGGATTTTGTTATTTTTTACTTCTGTTTTTATGATAGTGTGATTTCTTGGGATCTGATATTGTGATTGCAATTTTTAGTTGGGTATTTGTTAAGCTTTGATTTTTGTTGTAATCTACTTTGAAGTTGATTTAGTAGTGCTACCATTTTTTATATGAGGTTTGAACTGTAAGGTGAAAGATTGATTTGTTAAGGGTTACTTAATTTCGAATTTTTTGATTGGAGATTGATTTTTAAAAATTTTAACAGTTATTAATATTGAATTTTATGAACTAGGTATTAATAAAAATGGGGGTTATAGGTGACATTCCGGTAGCAGCTATTGAGGATGTAGAGCGCTGCTAAGTACTTATGTGATGTCTTTGCTAAGGTATGAATTTCAATGGCCTGTTTGATCTGGTTTGACAACATGATCATGTTTTGATAAATTTGTGTGGTTGGAGTCCCTAATACAATTTATACCACAAATTAAGATACATCCTAAATACATAGTATTTAGATTTCCGTTCAGCACCTATTTTACACTTGCAATTTGGATCTTGTTCATTTGTATAGTTAATATGTTGCATAACATATTTAAAATTGAGCAAGCTTTGTGTGTGCTCGCTTGCAATGTTGTTTTTCAATTTATATTTGAAAAGAATAAGCATATATAATTACTTTATCTCCTTTGCACAATCATACAATTTCCCTATTCTGTTTGAAGGTCATGGAGACTTGAAAGCAGTCTCTCTGTTAGTTGCGATACCTTTATTTTCCCGACCCTGATTTCATAATAGTGTAGCATGTTATTGATACTGCACGTTTATGTATGTTATAGACTTCATAGTTTTATTTGTAGTCTTTTACTTATGTACTAAGTCCTAGCTCTGAAGTTATGAAAAAGAAAAGAGTATATGTTGAATATTAATGCGAATTTGGCGTACTATACAGTAAGCGTCTTCTTTTCTTTCTTTTGCAGCTTTATCATCAGTTTCAGGGCTTCAAGTTGCGGAAACGAAACTAAATGAGGGTTAGTTGCTGTACTGACCTTCTATTCTTTGTAAACGCTGAAATTCTTAGTTATGCAGCTCATGTTGGAGCATCCAAATATATTGTTAGTAACATTATTGTCTGATTTGTAACAGAATTGTTGATCTACAGGTACAATTCTATCTCCCCTTTCTCTTTCTTGTTCTAATTGGTTCAATTTTCACCTAACCTTTAATATGAACAGCTTACTTGTTATTTTTTTCCATATCTTTTTATTTTCTCCCAATATTTTCTCTTTTTAATATGCTTATATGCATATGGTGTTTGCTGCCAAAATTTATGCTGTCAAGTTAGATATTGCTGTTGTGAGTGACTATAGAGGGTAGATGTTGTTTCACGCTGTTGCCGCTGTTATTCTGGTGCTGCCCTGTTACTGCTATTCTGTTCGTCCAAAAATCATCGACCTGAAGTTGTTTTTAGCTCATAGTCCCTTCATCAATGTTTTAGATCTCGAAAAGTTATTCAATCTAGGCTCAAGAATTTCTCGATTTGGAGTTGTGTGCTAGGAATTATGCCTTCTGGAATTTACTACGGTCTGCTACCCTGGTTCTATCGCAGCGGGCTGTTATTGCTCATTTGATGCCTATGTGGTGTTGTTGTGTTGAGTTGGTTGGGGTGCTAAAATGAATGCTTGGGCTTCTCTTATTTATTTTGTCTTCCCTTCTTCTTTTATTTACACATTAGTTATAAAGTTAAAATGTGGGCAATTTTGGATAATGACTAATTGATAATTTGCCAAAGTGATGAGGGATTAATGTGTATGTTAAATTTTCAAATGTGTGAGTGACTAAAGTTAATTAGTTTAAATGTATTGAAGGGTTTAAATGTTTATAAAATAGATTTGATGAACGAACACTAATCTCCCCAAGTTTATTCATCACTCTTAATTAACTTCTTATTTCGTATTACATGAGCCTTTTGTTGTTTTTATTAAATGAGGTGAGAAAATATATATGTAAAGGTTTGTACATGTGGTATGTCTAGATAAGGGTTGTGTTCTACTTATATGAATGTAATAACTTATCAAGTGAGTTTGGGAAGTATTAAGGAGTCAACAAAGAAGTCATGTTTGATATGATAGTCTCCTTATAATTTATTATTATATACGTGAGAGTAATTTACACCATACAACTGATAACTTGAGAATCCTTTATCTTTTCTACTGTAATATTAGCAGCAATTGCAGGTTGGTGCAAAATAATGCAGTGCTTGAAGTTAGTCTTGTGCTTCTATAACAAAAAAGAAAATTCAACTGCGTGGCCCTCCTTGATTCCATATCAACTTAACTACCGAGAAAGCAGCCTGGACATCCTTGTTAGAGTAAAGAGGTTAGTCTTTCAAATATATTCACTCTTATCTCCTATTTTTGTATGGCAACTATGTGTGCCGTTTCCTGCTTAAATTTAATGATGGTGAGCAGGATCGTGATCCTTTGTATCTGAAATAATAATTAGTTTTTATTCAAAAGATGTGCAAAGTTAGATCATTGTTAGACCTTGCATTTCTATGAATCTCCATGAGTTTGTGAGGCGATGGATTCTAAAAGTATATCAAGCTATTATGTTTGAGATTATTACAATATACTACTCTTCTAGACTTCTTGTTCTTGAGCACTTCAGTTATTTTACATCTCTGCTTGCTTACTTTATTTTCTTGATTGTATTTATTAAAAGCCTGCCAATGGCCTAATACTCATTAAAGCTTAGAGAGTAGTCATTACTTTAGGAAAATACAACTCATCACGATCACCAAACAACGTAGTCATGACACAAAATTGAATATTGTTTATGTCATTTGTCATTTATGACTTTATCGATCCTATAACACATAATGTGTGCTACAAAACTGACAGAAGTTTCTGAAGTGCACATAAGGAAATAGATGACTTAATGTTCCGAAGATTCCTCTTACCTGTAATCTTGTGAAGAAGACGGGTTCCATGTTCTTAAAGTATTTGAAAAGGAGGCAGACTTTTCTGCCTAAAGTTTGTCATAAGATAAGAGAAACATTATGACCTTTCCCATAACAAAGTTAATCTAGGAGGCATAGATAAAAAATAAAAAATAAAAATAAAAAATAAAAAATAAAAAAAAAAGGACACCCTACTATGATTGCATGATTGCGTTCTCAGGTGGGCATTACCTAAATTCCAAATCTGGTCGAAGGTCTTGATGAGTTTAAGCGTACGTCTCTTCCTGTTTCTTTGATTATTTAGATTTCTCACTTATACTTCAGTTGCAACTATCTACATCAATGTTTCTGCTATTCATACTTGTTTTGTGTGTTTTTATACAGGTCTTCTTGTATAAAATCTTGATGATCTGTGAGCAATAATGTACCCCTCGAATCTGTCAGCTAGCCCTGATACAACAACTGAGTTGTAGTAACTCTAAAGTTACTGTAGTTCTCACTTGCTCGCTCTGCTTTGTTGAGTTCCAGGGGGAAAAGAAGAGAAGATCGAGAGGAAGACAATCTCAGAGAAGTTCTCAATCAATCTGCTCAAATGCTTTTGGAGCTCCGAACCTCATAATAAGTATCTGTGAGTGACTTCTTGCTTTTATGGATTTTTGCCGGGTTTTTTTTTTCTTTGTTGTGCTTGTATGAATTTAACTTTATTTTATAACTATCCTTATTAATCTTTAAAGAAAGATTTTGTTGACCTACAAATTTCTGAACATTTAGGCTTTGTTATTATAAATAGAGAAAAAAAAAATCAATTCTTTATTTTGTATATTGTAGCCAGCAAGCTTACACTCTCTTTTTCTGGCAGCTCTTACTAAATTGTTGCTTCTTCGTGTTTCTTCTGCACATCCTGTATGCCTTGTTCTTGAGTAGGCTTGGGATGAAGGCATCATTGGCATTCCAGAATTATGGTGCTGAATGAATAGTGGGTTCTATGAATTGTTTTTGGGTTTATTTCTTAATATATACTGCTTTGGTAAAACCTCTCATCTTCTTATGATGCTTTGCCTTATACAGTACATTTATATTTAGATTAGAGAAATTGGCAACACATTATTCTTTTCGTCAAACATGATAGACAATGAACTTGGTTATTGCTTATATATATTAAGCATTTTTGGTTAATGGCTGCTCGTAAAGGCTCTCATGGGAAGACCCACAATTTTCTATGGAATGCTTATTGTGAGATTTCTTATATTTGATTTCTGATCGGACGTGTATGCAGCTTAGTGTTTTTTTTTCTTTTTTTTTTCGCATTATGTATTTATATTGTGCCTTGTGGATATAAGTCTAGACCATGCTTTTCCCCATAGATCTATCGCAGATTAAGTGTATAAGCTGTTAAAGGCAGCTAGAATAATAGAATTAAGTATCTTGAATTTAAAGTATCAGCTTTTGCATATGCCTTCATCATCATTTAGATATCTTAAATATTTGTCCGCAAGTTAATACATTTGTTCTTTTTTGTTTGCTTATCTATGTAACTGATATATCTGCAGGTTAATTATTTGGTGGTTACAAATATCTCTTAATATGGGTGACATTCAGAATGCTCCTCTTTCAGAAGAGGAAACTACTTGTAGGTTTCTTTTGTATGAACTTTAGGTATATATATGAACTTCACGTAAAATACAAGCTAATTGTTTATCGTGTTATCATATGTGATTAGCTCTATTTTTTTATTCTACTGTTTTATGCAGATAATTTTGGGATGAAGTGAGCAAGCCTGAAATATTAGGGCCAAGATATTACTTGTAGCAGTGGAGCACGTGCTTAAAGGCGCCAAAAAGACAAGGATACAACCAGATGAAGCATGTGTGAGATGGTGATAGTGTTATAGGTTGAGGTTATGGGATTTAATTTCATTTGTAGTACAAGTAGTATTTAATTTATATTTTTAAATGGTAGAAATGGGTAGAATTAGATACGTAAATGATGAAGTAATGCAAGAGCATATAAGTGAATATATGAGCATAATGTGTACTTGTTTTCAACTTCAATATGTGTATTGTGATTTTAGTAGAGAAATTATAGTTTTGTTCTTGAGGCTAGGTATCAAGTTGGTGCTTTTTTTTTTTTTAATTTATTTATTTTGAGAAAAAGAGGTTAATATCAAGTTGATTAATAATACATTTAATACAAAAGAAAAAAATAAAAAATAAATAAACACAAATTTATAAGGTATAATAAGATAGTTTGCGTAGAAATTCAAGTTGATTGTAGTAGTTAGTAGAAATTATATCTTTGTATACCTATTTGATTTAAAATCAACTAAGTTTTAAGATTTACAAGGTATTGAGATGCTTTATGTAGAAATTCAAATTGATTAGTTAATACTACATTTTAAACAAAAAATCAACATCTTTCTCTTTATTATTATGTGAGGAATAAATGCTCAAAAGATGCATTGTATTAAAGGACGGAGGGAGTAATATATTTTTTTAAGAATCTTTAAATTATAGCAAATTCTAGATAACTTCACTTGTAACAATTGTTTTTCATACATATTTTCCCATAGACACTTATAAATTCATGTATCCTTGCTATTACAAAACCCGAACACAACCATGAATATCACAACAACCGAACACAACCACGAATTTACTTATCTTGCCGTCGGGGGGGCACGCGCAACGCGCTTGCTCCAACGACTAGTATAGAAAAAATTAAGAGTGTTTGGAAGTGTAGTGGTGCAGGTAGAGTTTAGTGGTTGAAGTAGCTTTTGTGAAAAGTTAACATTATTAACTTTTGTGAAAAGTTAGGTAGCTGTTGAATTTTTTTTTATTTGTTTAGAATTTTACAACTAATAGCTAATTTACCAAACACTCATACTGAATTATTTATTTTCACAGCTAACAGCTACACATACATCTAACAATCACCATTACAACTAACAGCTACTTCATGGGCGTGTTCGGCAAAATATAGCTGTTAACGGTGTGAAGGTCTTAATATCTCGTTTCGTCGGTATTTATTTATGAAGTTGTCTTAGTTTCTCGACTCAAGAGGTTAAATTTGAAATTACATACAGAATTGTTACTTTTCTTTAGTTTGTTTCTCATGTTAAGAAAATGTTGAAAGTTTAAATTTTATTTACAATTGATATAATTAATAAGGGCATATAATGTCTTTGTAGTCATATATATGTTGTAAAAATCTTACTTAATGAGCGAGTAACAACAATTTGCTAGTTACTTAATGAGAGAGTATCCTGTGGTTTTATGTGGCTGTTCTAAATCAAAAGAGCATCGCTTGTTAATTTATTTATACAAGTGAAAATTCTTGACTTATACTGGTGATTTTGTGTACAATATTCTTGCTTTTGATCTTCAATTCTTTGTGGATACTAATACTTCGTATAAAATTTTAATGCTGATTTGGTAATATCAGTGAGTCAAGTTAAGCCACTCGTGAAAGATTTTAATAGTAGATGGAAATATGCAGTTGAGCTAAAGCACGAAGATCACAACATCCTTCAACAATTTCTTGTGCGGCATAGAGATATTGAAAACTTCACTCCAGCTGCTGCTTTACTACACCTGCTTTGCGAGTGTGTAAAGAAGGTGCAGGTATTAAATTCAATAGATTAGAAAATTCTCAAAGACTTTCTTGGTTTGCTATAATCTTTTTTTTTACTCTGACATAAGAGATAACAAGTTTTGAGAATTGTTGATATTCTGAGATTAAGTTTTTTTTTTTTAGGGAAATACTCTAAGTTGATTGTTATTAGATAAAGTCTGATTTTGTATCAAAGAGTCATCAGATTATAACAGATTGTGAGGGCTCAAATTTTGTAACAGAGAGCTATTAGATTATAACAGATAGCAACATAATAAGAGTTTAGATAGCAACCTACTAACAAAGCCTTAATACATGCATAATACTAGTCTAGTCCAGAATTGTTCACTATAGTAGAAAATACATATAATCAACCTGTAAAAATAAAAATAAAAAAATATAAAAAAAAAAAAAAATTTGTCTCGAACTACACCGAAGATAGGGTCGTTTGTGAACAACCACCTATTTTTTTTATTTGTTTAGAACTACCCGGAAATTACAAAACATTTGGGTAGCACTATCCATAAACGTTTTCCGTCCAATTAAGACGTGATTGGGCCCACTTTTTCAATTTTTCCACTTAATTAACTCCCCTAATTACCTTATCTCTCCTCCATAATTAACTTCCCCTCTATTCTCACTCAAAATATCCAAGAGAACATACTCAATCAATTGAACACAAATTCTCAATTATTCATGTATGTAATGTTTCATACTTTCCTTTTAATTTGTTGTATTTGTTTACAGGTTTTAATTGAACGCAATTAACATAATTAGGGTGTAAATTAGTGATTCAAATTAGGGTTTATGGGTTCAAAAAATTCGGGGTTTTTTATTTTTAGAGTTTAGGGGTTCAATTGAGTTCTAGGTGTTTCGGTTATTTTGACTTTGAGATTGAATTCAATTGCATTTTAATCGTTAATTGATCATTATGATTGGTAGGATGTCTAATTGGTCATTATAATTTGTAGAATGTCTAAATTGGAGGTTATGATTTCTAGGGTTTAGGGGAAGTGAATTAGGGAGGAGAGAGAATGTAATTAGGGGAGTTAATTAAGTGAAAAAGTGGGTCCATTAACTTTTTTTTGAACGGAAAACGTTAATAAGTAGTGCTACCCAAACTTTGCTTAACTTCTGGGTAGTTTTTAACAAATAACAAAAATCGGGTAGTTGTTTACAAATGACCCTGTCTTTAGGATAGTTCTAGACAAAGTTTCCAAAAATAAAAATTTGAATTTTAAATTAATTATGATAGTGTAAAAATAAATCACAAAAAAAAAAAAAAAAAAAAAAAAAAAAAAACAATGATCAAATTGAGAATTTACCATCCAAAAATAATTTCATATCAGCCAGAGTTACAAATAATGCAAAAATAAATCCAGGCCACATTTTGTTGACCTCTCGAAACAAGGTTTGGCTTCCATTTTTATTCAGTTGGAACTCTGACTGTGAAATAAAAGTAATGTAGTAAAATGAAACATGTTCACAAAAAAGTGTCCATGTATTTTAGAGGTTCATACCTTGCGCAGGTAATATGATTTTTATGTTATGCAATTATTGTACAAATATTTTTTTTGATGGAAATTATTATACAAATATTGCTTGTATGCTAAATTACTGCACAAAATAACGTTATTCATTCATTTGTAAACTTCTAAATAACTGATACTTTTTCCTTAAAGCGGCTAGAATTACTAGATAAAACTCCCATAACTTTTAAAGACACTCTCGCTTGAATCAAAAGACAAGCTTTTCCTACCGAAAAAAAAAAGTGGGTGTTCATCGTAATACCAATAGACAATCTTAAACAACAATTTCAAAAATAATTAATAAAACAATAAACATATAATTGAAATTAATAATAAAGCTAAAAATTTTATAAAGATATAAACCATAAATTATGAAAAGAAATAAATTATACTTGATTGTGTTTAATAATAACAATATAATCAACTTAATATTAAAAGTATTGAATTAGTTAGTATGAGAATATTTTATGCAAATTTTGAGTAATATATTAATTTATAAATAATTTGTTAATACATTAAAATGACTTTGTTCAGAAATAAATGACCCCTCATTCATTGAAGTTTTCTTATAACGGAATAATATTGATGAACAGGATAGACTATTCAATTATTGGTATTAATATTATTATTGAGTCATTTGCGTACCAAGTTAAATCTCAATAACTTTGTTTTCGCAAGAACAAGTAGGAAGTTAATTTATAAGGACATTCTTCCTAAGTCTGATACGAGCAACCATTTAACTACCTTCCTTTAGGTATGTATTCAAACTGCTTTGATTTCAACACGATTTCGGGTTTTGGTTCCGTGTTCTAGTTTTTCGTATTTTATTTCAGATATTTTTCTAGTTAGCAGGGGATTGAAAGATTTTTCATCACCATACTTTTCAACACATAACTCGAGGGAAATGTATAGGTAGTTTCAGAAATTATTACCGGTGATTTCAAGGGTTTCAAGATTCAATCAGCAGACAATAGTATACCGTGAAAGCAATCCGGTAAAGCAACTCCAATTATTAAATACATTGAGTTATTTGATTCAAAAATTGGTCAATGGAAAACACTTCTCACTCCTCCTTTCATAGCTGCATAGTCGGAACTATTACACGTAATTTTTTAAATTATAAATAACCTTAATAACACATTGAATTATTTAGTATGAGAATATTAATATGTGAATTTTGCGTGATTTAATTTACACATATTCCATAATTTGTTAATTTATAAATTATTTTACAAAATTTGATTTTTAAATTACCACCCAAAAATATAACTATTTTCTAACTAACCACATTACCACCCCTTAATTTAATTAAATACTCAGATTACCACCCAAATTGAAAATCCGGTGGAAACCTGTCATGTGGGCCCCACGGGATTTATTTTTTTTTATTTTTTTTTCGACTTTATTCTCTTTCTCATTCAATTTTCTCAACCTACCCTATTCTTCATTCAATTAGCTCCTTCGATTCTCTGCAAAATCCCCTTTTCTTCATAATTTTGAACACCTCATCAAATTAGAACCCTAATTTTCTTTTTAAAACTATGATTGTTCTGCAAAGCATTCATTCGAGGGTAATTAGTTGTACTAGAGAGGTTAAATTGAAGAAAAGTCGACATCTTGGGGCTGTTTGTTGGGGACAAGTTACATATGTCAGTAAGAAGTGAATAGCTTAGTGCAATGACATCAAAAGAGGTAAGCAATTTTGTTCCAATCAACCCTAACAGTGCCAACAATTTGTAACTACAATTTCAGCAAAGTTAATTCAAAATCCATCACAAAATTTAACGAAAACCCCAATTCAATACTACTAGATAACCTAATTACCTAAATAAATCAGTTAATTCGTTTGCAGAACCATAATTAATTAAGCCCCCAAATTCCCCCAATTAAAATGTCACAAGAACCCTAATTAATTAAGCCCCCAAATTCCCCCAATTCTGATGGCTTTGTACTCTACTTATGGCAGATGCATAATTTTTTTTTTTTGTGTATAATTGTTTTTAAAGATGGATGCTTGTTGATAATTTTTTACAAATATAAATAAATTTGGCAATTCCCTCTTCTGTTTAACTTTGTTTTTTTTTTTTCATTGTGAAAGATAGACTGTTCTTCCCCTCAAAAAAATAAAAATAAAATAAAAAAATAGATTGTTCTTGTAGCTCGAGGTAGGATGGTTGTTTCGGCTGATGAAGTTCCTGCTTTTTTTCTTGTATTACAGACTGTAATGGAGACCGGAGAGTATTCCCCTCTTTATGTTATCCTCTTTTCTCTGTCGGCTTCTAGTATCTCATTGAAATAGCTTGTAACTAGCTAACTTAATCCAATCTAGCTTTTGTGCACTGATGTAGTTCTGAAACTCTTACCTAATTCTAATATTACTAGTATGGTGTTTCGAAGGATTTGGTGTGTATATATATATATTACTAAATTAGTATATATATTTGCATTGTAAAAGTGAATTCATGTTTCTACAACATACTAAATTACTAATTACTTGAATTCTTATATTCAAGACATTGATTGAATTTTCTACTACAGTCTGTTGTGTTTTTTCTTTTTTATTATTATATCACATTATTTGTAAGTGCAATACTTGTTTTATCACAACTGATGTATGAAGTATGAATTGGTAAATGTTTCAAAGGACCTAATTAAGTTTCATTCTACGTGGATCTAGGAGACGGAGGGATGGTTAGTCCCTCCATCTCCCTCCGTGTGATTGGGGTTCGAATCTCACCCCCCCCCCCCCCTCTTGTTAGGACTTAGGAGGGGCTCCTCGTATACTTTACCTTTTTTAAAAAAAAAAAGTTTCATTTTACTCGAATTTGTAAGGATGTATTATATCTTGATAAATTTCTTTATTTCGTCAACTCAATTTTCAATAATTTTTGAGACACTTTTATGTTAAACTAGTTTTGGTAATAACAAGGGAGCTCCAATATATACATTGATTTCTGCGCTACTTTATTATTTTACTTTTATCATTTACCTGTAACTTAGGCCTTGTTTAGTTCACCTTATTTTTACTTATTTCAGAAAAAATAAGTTCAGATCAGATCAGAAAAAATAAGTTCAGATCAGGAAAAATAAGTTCAGATCAGGTCAGATCCGAAAAAATAAGTTCAGATCAGATCATATCAGAAAAAATAAGTTCAGATCAGATCAGAAAAAATAAGTTCAGATCAGATAAGTTCAAATTAAATACAAATTATTATTATTATTACATATTATTATTATTATTATTACATATTATTATTATTATTATTACTATTATTATTATTACTATTATTATTATTATTATTATTATTATTATTATTACTACATATTATTATTATTATTACTACATATTATTATTACATATTATTATTATTATTATTATTATTATTACTATTATTATTATTATTGTTCAAATAATAAACGATAATAATTAAATTTTCATTATAAGCTCCAAATCATAAACGTTTACAAATATAATTTCCACCATAAGAAGTTCCAAATTTCCTTCGCTATATTAAGTTGTACTTCGTTTATTAGGTCTTACGATTCTCGTTAAACAAATCATAATCTGCTCTTGGTTCGATTTCTATACCACTATCAACGGGTATATCCAACTCATGTAATCGAATAAAATTGTGAAGTGTGAATGTAGCAACCATAATCGTCAATTGATGTTTAGTGTCCATATTTGGCATCATTGTGAGTATTTTCCATTGAGATTTGAATTGTCCAAAACATCTCAAATCATTCCAATGATTTGTTACTAGTTTGATATTGAATTGCTTTCCACATTTTATGATCAAAGTACTCACTATTTTATCCCAATTAAGCTTTAAATATCCAAATTCTTTCATCTCCAAGCATATGTCCAACAATATCTCCGTATATTCTTCAGACCATGCTATCCAACCAGCCATTACACTATGATAAAGAGCACTTTGGAATCAATATTTCACGCATAAATTATAGACATTAATGTTGAATTGGCACCAGAATTATAATCAAAAGGATTCTTTTGAAATAAATGAACTGAAGATAAAATATTAATTGTGCTTTACATTTTCATCGATATTACTTGCATCAGGTCAAATGTAAAATTCATGAAATCAAATAAATGTATATTTTCCTACACTATCAAAAAAAAAAAAAAAAAAAACAATTGACAAATGATAAAATTAATGACATAGAGTGTTGAAGTATTTACCTATGATGGAGATAAAAGACAAACAACCTATTGAACAAATGAATAGAAAAATATTTTAGGAGATTGATTTAGAGTGTGAAAATTATGACACTAAGTATGAAATGATAATTTTCAATTCAATTTAGTCAACCATTTTACATTACCAAAAAATTTGTAAAATTCCCTATAAAGCTATGACAAATTTAATCTGCAATTTAGGTTTTTTAGGATCCCATTTTAATACTTTCTTATAAACAAATTCATTTATGATGTTGGATATTGTAAATAATAAAATTATCAAATATTACAAGTATATTACCTTATACTATCTGATAATATTAACACTTTTAGGTTTCTTTTAAAATATCTGTAAGGGATCTAAAATATTTTATAATAATAATAATAATTTTCCTAACAATAATAATAATAATAATAATAATAATAATAATAATAAAACATTAATATGTTTTAAAAAAACATTAATATTGATTAAAATAAAAGTAGAATATTGAAATAATTAAATAAGTTCAGATCAGATCAGAAAAGATAAGTTCAGATCAGAAAAGATAAGTTCAGATCAGATCAGAAAAAATAAGTTCAGTTCAGATCAGATCAGATCAGAAAAAATAAGTTCAGATCAAATTAGATCAGAAAATATAAGTCCAGATCAGATAAGATAAGATAAGATCAGACCAGATCAACTAAAATCAGGTCAACTAAATAGGGCCTTAATCAAATTTCAACTATCTCTTTTATCTTCCAGAGTGATAGTTTGCACCAACAGATTTGGCCGTTATTTCTTGGAGCAATTTCTGAAAAGTTTCCTTATATGGTCTAAATTCTCAACAGGACGAAGAATGAGAGCTCATTATTCCTTGCCAAATTTCTCCTGATGTCAGCTTGTCTTCTTCATAATTTACAATTCCCAGAAAATTTATCAAAACCAGACAAATTAGAGGGATTATTATTGGAAAAAGAAACGAACTTTCTCAATTCCTAAATACCCAAATAAACTCAATTCCTAAATACCCAAAAAAAAAAAAAAAAATGGGATCAGAAACCAACTCTCCAACACCATCTCCAAGTGGGAAGAGAAGCAGAGATCCTGAAGATGAAGTTTACATCGACAATCTTCATTCTCATAAGCGTTATCTCAGTGAGGTCTCTTCTATTTTATATCTATTTTAATTATTTTCAACAATTATAATTTGGGTATGAATGATTTTATATTTTACTTGTAATAGTATGAAAGTATGTTATATTGATCAAAAAGTCTGCCTGAATGTTTGTGTGTAGTTAAATGAAAAATTACCAATAATTTCGGAATTCATGACAAAATCCGTGTGGATGTGTTATTATACTAACCATCCTTAGGGGGTTGTTATCAATTTCCTAATTAATATAGTAAATAAAGAAAAGGTGAAGACTTTGGTATGATTATGTTGAAGATATGGGATTTTGATTTGTTTGCATAGTTTCTCTCTTTCTGATAGTGTAGAGCTCAGTAGTTGTTCTTGTTGATTTAAGGGTTTGGAAATTGTGGGAATATTTTCAGATGATGGCATCAAGCTTAAATTGTTTGACTGTGGGTGACCCAATTCCTGAAAATCTGTTGGATTCTCCGGCGAGGTCTGAAAGCATGTTCTATTCAAGGTGAGGTGTTTTTTTGGGGTTTGATTTCATGCATTTCAGCATTTGTGTTCAATAATCAAATGATAATTCTTGTTTCCCCATGTTACCTGCAACGTGCATTGAACCTTGTATTCCTGTGTTAGATATTCAATATTTTGACTTGAATGTGGGCACTTGATGCATTTGTTTACTTGAGTCTCACACCTTTACATAAATCCATGTTTTAAATTGAGTAGCCAAAGTTGTTAACCTTTTGCAATATTGAATTGTGTGTACTTTGGGTGGATATTATCGCTTGTTTAATGTGTTAATCTGTCCTGATGATATATGTCAGTATGCAAGAATGCAAGGTGCTGACAGAGATTGCTCTGTTCCTGAAATAGTATGTGTAACATAAACTGTGTTTTAGTCGAGGAGAACTAGCATATCTGTTCTCTGAAACTTTTGGATCGATGGTGTAGATGTTCATCGGCCTTATGGGTAGATGATCTACCACACATCAACATCCCTATTCCCTAGGAGAGGCTTTTTATATGAAGTTTTGATTTGGGTAAATTTAGATATTTTTTATTGGTACAAATGAGGGGCTGGCCCTGTAAAAACTATAAGAAAGTAAAATGGAAATTAAACATGGCTAAGCCACCACTTTAACATCCTCATTGGTCATCCTACCGAGTGCTAGATAGGACCCTTGCAATTTAGTTCCTTTACACGAATTGCAATTTCATACACATCTCTCATTATAAACCTTAATTACCAATTTGTGGAAGCAAAGTTTTTATTCAGGTCAAGTACCCTTGAGAGAGCCATGAGCTAGGCTTTACAGAGGAGAAAGCTTTAAAGATTAGCAATGAAGGCTGAAGCAAAAGCAGCCAAGGTATTCCTTAAAAGCCTTTGCCTTCAGCCAACAGCGGACTAACTTTCACTGCACTAGTTAATTTTAGAGCCACCCAATCAGCTGGCACCTGGCAGAACAACCCACCTTATGAAGACTTCCTACCGGACCATAACTCTCCTTCCATTAAAGTACTTTTCTCTCAAAAAACTTTTTTGGTTTCTTCTATACAGTATTACTTAAACAGCAAAGGGATTAATGGGTGTATTCCTTTGCTTATTGCACACATAATATTTTGTTTAGATATTGAGATTTTCATTCTTTCATGCTATAACAGTGCAAGAATAATATGGATTTAAAGTACATGAGTGCATAATGTTATCTTGTCTTGTTAAATACATAAGTTGGCAATATTTGGCTAACTAATGTCGCGCTACATACCTCCTGCATACTAAATTTGATTAGTGTGTGCTTTTGGCCTTTCAAGCCTTGCGGTGGAAGCATGAGAACCACTCTGCCTCTTTCTGTAACATGACCAGAATAAACTGCAGAAGATTTTGGTTCCAATTTTTGCTTATGTATAGAATTTTAATTCTAGAATCATTATGTCCTACAGTGAGGAATTTGAGGGTATCATACATTTGTTAAATTCACAAAAGGAGCTTTACAAATATTGCAATTTCCACAGTTTGTCTTTTTCTTTTCTACTGGGAAATCAACATGTTATTTGCTGAAATAGTCGTATGCCAAGAATGGAGAATTGGCTTTAAGCACTTCATGTAAATAGGTAGGATTTGTGGATGAGGCATGTAAAAAGATATCTGTAAATTCCAATTGCATATGACCAGTTTTGCTTCTCCATCTGGTCGCAAAAAAGTAGTATTGAAGGCTAGTACTGATAATGCACGATTCTACCTCATTGGCATCAAGGATGGATGGAAAATACTATTTTTCAAACTCAAAGTATGTTATGCAGTAAATACTTGGCTTTATATGTGCAGCTTACATATCCCCTGGGGAGAACTATTAGGTAAAACCTAACATTTGATTTCTGCTCTATTAGAGTCAGATTGTTGCCCTATCCAGCAAACTTAATCATCAACTCAGATTCCGATTGATTTTCCAACTATCATTTGCTTCTCTTTTTTTGCAAATTGTTTGGTCTAGGTGTTTTGGAGATAATGTCATTCTGATTTATAACACTTTGATTCTATGTATTATTATAATTTTCACCTAATATTGCTTTTCTAACCTGTCCAAACAAGAAAGAAGTAAGGAACAACCCTTGAAACCCTCATTTGTACGTATATATTAAACATTTTGAATGTTTGATCTAACATTTGTTTACACTCATTGCAGAGATGAATTGTCCTTACAGTATTCACCCATGTCTGAAGACTTAGACGATGCACGATATTATGAAACTCCCATGAGTGCCTGCTCATCTCAATCTGAAAGCCGTCCTACTAGTCCTGTCTCCCCGTATAGATATAAACCAGTTGGTGCATTTTGCTCTAGTCCTCCTACCACCTCACAGCCTTCAAATGGATGCAGTACCTTCTCAGGTTCTTCTCAACCTCGTCAGAGAGGTTCTGATACTGAAGGAAGATTCCCTTCTTCACCGAGTGATATATGCCACTCAGGGGACTTAAGGAAAGCTGCTCTTTTACGATCTGTGCAGATGAGAGCCCAGCCTTCATGCTCACCAACATTTGATCTAGGATTTACTGGAGCTCAAGAGGGAATGCAGAATGTTGAATCTGAAACTCGATCTTGCTCATTTTTGAAACCTTTGGATGATGAACGTGAGTACCATGATGAAGGATGTCCTGTCATAACTTCTTCTGGTCCTGAATTCGATGAAAGAAAGGATTCAATGGCAGTGACTATGGTTGAGAGAATCATATCTCTGGGCTAGCTGTCATATGAAATTGGTTTATTGATATCAATGTTTGGTGTCTGACACTTGTACGGGCCCACATATGAAGTTTGTATTTCTTTTTCTTTTATCGGTGAAGACATATGAAGATTGTTGGTGCAAACTGCGAAGTTATCTGTTGTGGGATTAATGATGAGAAAAGCTATTAGTTGACCGCATATTTGAGACTCTTAATGCCAGAACAAATGGTTACCCCACTCCTATCCATTATAACAACAGCCTAGTATCAATTTCGTTGAGGTTAGATCTGGAGACGTCCACGTGTACGCAGCTAAATTCCTAGATATGTTGTATACTTGTAATTAGATAACTGATGGAGGCCTAATTGGATTAATATTCAAAGGGAGCTGTACGCTGCTCTTTGTTCAAGATGTCAGACTGGCAAGTTGAAATTTTGATGTTTGCTGCTGATATTAATCATCAATTTGACTGTTGGAAAAATCTGTAAGTTCAATTTCATTTTTTACTTTTCTCCTTCCATGGCTACGACCCTGTTCTCAATTCTATTTTTCATCTATGTCTTGCAAAAGATGGCTTGAAAACTTCAGTGCTTGAATATATGTTGATTTATTTTTTCTGCCATCATGCCAGTCTTTGTGATTTTTGATCTTATGGTAGTAGCTGAACTTAAGACTAATTGGTAACTAGCTTTAGATATACCCAAGGCTGTAACCTGCTCATCATTATGAGCTCCTGAATGAGAAAAACACAGCTGAACACAATCTGGTTTAGGAAATTTAGTGCACCAGCATGATAATGATTTATTCGATGCTTGAGTAGGTGCTGGTTTAGGGCTTGAAAAAAATCTATGGATGTGAATAATGGCAGAAAGTTCCAGTTTAAAGGTTGTGAGTTGATGGTTTAGGATATATTACTTTCAACTTCACAGAGATATGTTGAGGTTGTATGCAAACATGGTCTTTGAGCAAGCTTTTGTTCTGAAGTTCATTTGATTCAGGTAATATATATAAAAGACCTGCAGTAAGCCAATAGGGTTTCCCTTTTTTAATTGAAGGTGTTTTTTGGCTTTAATTAAAAACTGCCCGATGTTTGTTCAGTCTGCTGGTAAGAAAATACTTTAGAACTTAATGGACCTGCTCTAGAATTGCAATGTAAGTTTATAAGAAGTATCCTTTCCACCTGTTTTTCATTATGATGAAATGGCCACTACCACCTTAAGCTACTATGCCCTAATTAGACCAAAATTCTTTTGCGTGACATTTGTTCCCTCTCCTCACTAAGTTGTTAAATTTTGGTAAGATTTTCTCTATACCTTTTCTCTACAGTCGGAACCCTCACTCACTCACCCCCTTTTTCTCTCTATTTCTCCTGCTCAGTTTCTGTGCCCTTAAGGAATGTTGTATTTGCAAGAGTCCAAGACCATGCAAAGATTTCACTTTTTATTATATTTTTTTGGGCTATTTGCGGATTTCTATTCTGCAAAGACAACTTTTAGTTTTTGGCATCAATTTACATAGAGTGCATGTTGCACTGGAACTAGACACACAAGACCTTCTGTGCTTTCTCCTTTTAGCCAAAAGGAGGAATACTCTGCTCATCTCTGAAGAAGTTACTTGGATCAATTCTTCTCTTCGCCTTGGCCAACCTCTCGAAATTATTCTTGAAGTATTTGGTACCCCAAACTCTAGCTTCCAGATAGCTTGTAGTTCCATTATTCCCATTAATGCCCAAATCAAGGTCCCTATAATTAAAATAGGCAGTTCTTGGAGACTTAGAAACATATGGACTCATAAATGCATGAAGCATTCTTACCCAGTGAATATGCCTTCTAGCTTCCTCAGCCTCATTCACCTTCCACTTCACTATATACTGTATGTTATATAGGTTTCCTCCTCTATGAGGGAAAGCTAATTGGGTTTCCGGTATGTGATTCATCATCCCACCAAGTGGTTCCATCACCATGTAAGCCTCATCTACCTGTAATTGTCTCTCCCATGCTTGTTGAAGGGCAGTTTCTGGTATGATTTGGTTTACAAAGTCAGATTTCGCCTTGAAGTAGCTCTTATAAAGTTGATGATCTCTGTCTAGGAGAACTTCCCTTGATGTGCCGCTTGGGTGCCCAGCAAAGTATAGAATTGATTCAATCCAACTCACTTCTTTGCAGTCTTTTGCCCCCACTTCCATTTCTGGGAAGATTAGCTCCATCACTGAGATTAGGCTGTTGTTGCAAGTGAAAGAATTTCAGATAATGTCAGATTTCACTATGGAAATAGCAAGAAACATGCATTTATTTGTATACTAGTCTTTTTTATTTGCCTTTTTTTTTTTTTAATAACAATTATCAAAGAATTATTTTGTACTAAATAAACTTTAGAATTTTGTTCTGCACAGAAGCTATCTTACTCAAAGTTCTGTTTCTCTTCAATTACTTGAGTTAAATATTCAACATTTTTTAGGTACATAAACTTGATACTTTATTAGGAGTTCAGATCAAAAGCATTATATTTGGCCACGAGTACGTGTCAACGTTAGTAGTCGAGTCAAGTGCCATAGTTTGGATGAAACTATCTCTCTACTAGTTTAGGTTAAAGACTGTGTACTGGAGTTTGTTTAAATGGTGGGAATTTGTGAGAAGATTTACTGGCCTTTGTTTGACCACAAAGGTCAACCATGAAACTGATGTATTGAATAGACACTAGGTTGGCTGTTGTGTGCAAATAAGCGGGTGTGTGAAAAAAGCAGACTTGTATATGCATGTTATTACTGATACCTCTGAACATTCCCAAGAAACATAGAGTTGAAAGAAGCTTGAACAGTTTTCTTTACACCATAACTTCCACCACCCACATTCTGAACTATGATCCTAATGAACAGATCATCTGGCAACTTGTCTGCAATCTGCTGCCAACGGTCAACGAGCTTATTCGCACCTTGCTCAAGAGTTTTATGAACTGTAAAAACTGTTACAGTAAGTGGAACTGGAACCATTTTGATTTTCCATGCAGTAATCACCCCAAAACTTGCTCCTCCACCACCTCTAACAGCCCAAAACAGTTCCTCTCCCATCAACTTCCGGTCTAAAACTCGGCCATTCACGTCAACCAAGCGAGCATCCATCACATGATCAGCCACCAGACCGTACTTCCTTGTCAGAACCCCTAACCCACCCCCACTGATATGGCCTCCGACTCCGACTGTAGGGCACACACCTGCAGGGAAACCATAGGTACTACTTCTCTGTGCAATGTTGTAGTAGAGCTCCCCTAGCGTAGCCCCAGATTGAACCCATAACGTCTGATCCTCCATGTTGATCCTGATCTCGCGAAGGTGGACAAGATCAATGAGGACAAAATGAGCTCTGCTCAGGTAGGATAGGCCCTCGTAGTCATGGCCTCCACTCCGAACTCTCACCTGAAGGCCATGCTCTCTGCTGCAGAGGACAGTAACTCCAATCTCAGGTTCCTGAGATGGGGTAACTATGTACAGGGGTTTAAAGGCCAAGGTGGAGTTCAGCCACCTTGGGTTTTTCTGTGATTTTAATAATAGGGAGGAATATAAAGTTGATTCTTTTGTATAAACATTAGCAGTAGAAAACTTAGATGCCATGCATTGAAGAAAATCTTTGGAGTTTATTGGTTTAGTAAATATTAAGATCATAAGCAGGAAAACTGTTGATCTCAATGATGATGCAGAAGCCTTAAGGCTATTCATCTGCAGTTTTTAGGTCCTGAGATTTACAGATTGTTAGTGTCTGAAACTAGGTGAATACTATTTGAGAGCTGTAAAGTTGGATTATAGATATCTGAAGACTACTAACCAGCTGATCTATTTATTCGGATTTGAGCAGTATTGGTTATGAATTTTATGTGAAAATTATGCGTCGTTCTGTATAATTAATTATCTCAACTATACTAGTTAATAATCTAACATCTGTAGACATTTTATTAAGGTTTTGTATATGCTTGATTGAGTGCACACAAGTTCATTAAACGGCGTATGCGATGAAAGTTATGATGTGATCAAAGTTGTATTTTATAATGTAATGCTGAAGCTGGGTAGTTTGAGCAAGCTACATTTTTTTTCTGAACATGCGGTAAGGCTGAATATCCGCCGTGACCTTCTCTTCCCAAACTTCGATTTGTCGCTCACCCCTCGGGGAGGGGGTGTAACGAGTGAGTGATCTACCTGCAGCTTATGCCATGCACACTTGTTCCATGTGTTGAAATTGCTTCATGCACCTGCGCATTTCTGTCATAGGGAAGATCTTGTGCATTAATGTTATTTTTTCTGGTGATTAGTTATGGTTAGGCACAAAGTACTACAAGTTCTTAGGAAGAATCCAAAGGATACATAAAGATATATAGACATGTAAGTAATTCTAATGTTATCATCATTATGTTAGGTTTGAAGCACAAATGGGAGTAATGTTGGGTTTGCTGATGAAGAGTATGTTGAATTTGCACATATGTTATAATGTGTTGTATTTTGTGTTTGTAACTAGAAAATTACCACTCTATTTTGGGAAATTTGCCAATTTAGATACAACTCGCAATCCACAAAAGTACTCACACTTGATCTATTCTGTTTTTGACAAAAATAACTACGAATAATAAGTTTCTAAAATAAATTGAATAGAATTAGTTCTCCAAAGACTTGTTACCCACGTCATTGAGCCACACCACTCTACACCTATGGGTTCCGTGTTTGTCCCAACTAAACTATTGGCTTTTATACCACTTGTTGAACCCAGATAATCCACTTTGTTAGACCACATGCACACCACAACTCCACATTAATTACTATGATATTGATTGTTTTAGGCCTAACCTGCACAGATTTGTTTTAGACACCTTCTCAAAAGGCCTCATACTAATATAGTAGGTAGGCACTCAAAAACAAGTCATCGCTTCCTTATTTTTCATCCGTGAGACCTTGATTTCATACCCCATCAAAGTTAATCACACTATTGTTAATTTCATCTCAATATAGTTAGTGCATTGTTTGTAGTTTGCAACTTAACATTTATACATTCACCATCTTAATTCATTCGGGCTAAAAACAGAGCTTTATAGTCTATTTGTCATTCTTGTATAGATCATGATTTCCTAATTACCTTCTATCTGAAGCTTACATGTATTGTTGATCGAGGTAATTACATAGGTTATTTTTATATGTTATTTTGGATCGAAATAGAAATAGCCACTACAAGTATCATTCTTATGCATGTTGTAATTAAATTAGTGCAGAAACTTTACACATTATTGGCTGATTGTGAGTGTATAGAAATAGAAATAGCCACTACAAGTCTTAATTGAAATGTGAGTACATGAATTGCCAAAAACAAGTAGTCTAGCTGAACGATGCGACAACAAAAGTTAAGATGGTACTTGTCGACACTAACTTTTCATACTTTTTGTAATTATATGCAGTTAATGATACATGCATACACGCAAAAGAACGGGGAGATTAGACATAAATATAAGGCCATTAGGCGTCTAGACAAATTACAATTTCTTTTTTCTTTTTCTATAATTTCATGCTTTTCAAATTTTTCTATGTGTTACGTGATTATAAAATTAGATATTTTAAAATTTATCCATGCATTTATGTGCATCGAGTGCTAGTTAAATGGATCGAGAGGCAAAAAAGACAGATCGAGATCAAACAAAGAATAAAGTAAACAACTTGTACAAGATGTTCCATGACCTTTCATTGTTATGTAATGAATGTACATCCCAATTGTTCTTAGGAGCTTTTGGGCATACAAATGGCATAAACCATTTTGTATCCAAGAATGTGTTGAGCATTTTCACGAGCCACATGCCAATCTGTTGATTATGGCCGCCCTTATTTTCCTCTAACTTAAATGCTCTCACCATCTTTACAACCTAGCTTTGGAAATTTGATCCTTAGATCAAGATTTTGTGGTCCTTTACTCCAAGTGGCTGATCTAATTTATGTTCATTTAACTATTATAATCCAAACTAGGTAGCACATAGGCACATAGCTATAGTTTCGATTCGATCTCAATCAAATATGCAAGCATTGCATGGACTTAGATCTAGGTAAGTGTAATGGCAATAATGTTGTCTAACTATATCGGTTGGGCTACATGGTTGAAGATGCATCTAGGGACTTAGTGGCCAACTCACCGACAGATCTGATTAGACATAACATGACGTGACACGATAAAATAACTTGAATGTGATATGAAGTGAACATACAAACATTGACTTTGCGTTATGTTATATTGTTTTTTGTATACTAGGAACGTCAATCAATGTAATAACAACTAAAACTGAATACTTCGAATTCATTCATCCAATTAAACTATTGACTTTGCATCGTGGTTTTAAAGGAATGAGAAGGGAGGATCAGATATGGTGAGAGTCATTCTCCTATCTCGGGATTTGTGGTGGAGGTATATATGGCCTATTCCAACTCTCCATTGGTAAGGACGCTAGCTAACTTGAGTCCTCTACAATGTGAATATATCCTAGTCAAATGATTAGACCTTGATTAGATACCACCAAATCACCAATGACAGATACATGAAGCAAGCTAAATCATTTGGTCCAACTGTGCATAGCATTTAGAAATATTAGATCGACCTTGGTTAACAAATTGACAAGACTTCTGTACTAATTATCGACTATAAATTGATTTTAATTTGATTAAACCATTTAAATTATAGTACTTCATAAATCTTTATGAACATTTCGGGGTATTCAATTAATCAACGTGTACCTCTTGAATATTTCTAAATGTACATCGTCTATTAATGATGCTGTCGTAGTATTGGCACCAAGCTAACATTATTGCACATGAAAAGATTTAATTTGATTCAAGTTAATGTTCATACACACATTACAGCTGCTTAGGAGTTAAGAGCCGAAATTGTCATGGCACACAATTGTTACGCGATGATAAATGGTATCAATGGTAACGACATTAACGATTTGATGATAATAAATGGTGTCGATGGTACATATGTACTCTTTTCTTGTGCTTTTTAAAAAAAGGGAGAAAGTGAAAGCAGAAAACAGACAAAATGTTCCCTTTCACTGCCAGTATCATTCAGATCATCAATAGTACATTAACTAGACCACCAAAAAACAAAGAGGAGCAATATTGAGACACAAATTAAATGGAAACCTTGACATCTAAAATACCAAAAAAGAGACAATAATAACTCAACCACTACTACCCAAAAAAATAAAGTAACAAATTTAATGAGACTACACTGAAAACATCGAACACCTAAATCTATCTAAACACTTGCATTATAATATCCTTCCCCTTATGAGCAGGGTTTCCTAATGTTTCGAGGATTTTTTAAGAGAGAAGCCAAGCAAACATAGCTTGTTCTTTCTCAGCATCTAAATCAGAAGAAAGATCAGAAAAAACAGGAGGCTCTTGCAAATGATCATCATTTTCACATAACCAAGAGATGAACTGCTCCTTCTCATCCCACAACTTGAAATCTTGGCCGATACAATCGACGGTCCCGATTTCCCAATCCCAATCAAATCCACCATGATGATCAAAGTTTGATGATGATGAAGCTGTTGATCTTGATCCTCCACCATTAGACCCTATGAATGTACTCACATTATAATTATTGTTATTACTATTGTGTTGATTATGATTTTGATCTTCTGCAATTGGGCTCATTCCCATAGGTCCATTACTCTCACTAGGGCCCACACTATTCTCTTCATTTGTGGTTCCTAAAAGCCCATCAAGGCCCATTATTTCTTCAATACCTAACAACTCTGTTTCCTCTTCATTAAACATTAAATTCTCATCATTTTCCACCTCCTCCCTATTATTATTATTATTATTATTATTATAAATTTTATTCTTGGGTATACTAAAGTTTTTATCTCCCACTAAATTGCTCATCTCCTTGGTGGGTCCCACTGTTGCTAGAACATTAGCAACACTGTTGTTGTTGTTGTTGTTGTTGATGATGAGGGCTTTATTGTTTCTATTCCTTTGCATTGCAGCCCTGCTTGTGCGGCCCCCACGGCGCTTAGGTGGTGCGCTCGCATTGCTCATGTTTATGATGATTTTGCCACCATTAGCATCACCATTGGGCCTTCTAAATGTATGGATTTTCCTGCTCAAATGAGAGTTCCAATAATTTTTAATCTCATTGTCTGTTCTTCCTGGTAGTTGCCCAGCAATCATGGACCACCTGCATATATATTGTGTTAGCCCATTTAAGAACAATGAAAACAATCATTCACATGATTATTAATCTAAAGGTCCTATTTGTGTACCAATGTAATAATAGCAAGGGTCCGATCATATAGTTATTATCAAAAGAATGAGACGGACATGTTTGTAGTCGTATCTAGAGACTAACTAGTACAAAGTATATTATATAGGATTTTTTTTCTGTCAAAAAATCGGAGTTAGATCCGATTTAACTCTTTATGTTGGAGTAATTTTAACTTATTTTCACTGAACTAAACTTCTGAAAGCGGTAGTGGTAATCACGTGTGGACCTTGTGTACTCAGATCGATAGCCACGTCGTGCATGCCGTGGTGTAGGGTTTTTCTCTCATCATGTTGTTAGGGATGGCCACAGTACAAGTCATTCTCAACTAAAGAGCAAATATGTCCGGAAAACAAATCATTAAAGTATAATAGGCCCAAAGATTACCAACTTGCGCAGAAAAAGAGATGACAAATTATTAGGTAGTTTGATTTCTACCAACGATCTTGAAGTCCTTTCACTACTTGTCAACTCGTATAAAATTATGACTTATGAGTAAGTACGTACAACATTAACGTAATAAGACATAATTTCATTGTATATTTCCAATTTAATATCAATTTCAAAAATTAAACGTACTCTGTAATTATAGGTTATAACTTATGATTAACAAAAACGCTAAATTATACTATGTATAGATTATTTAGACATGTAAAATGGTTGTTATATTAAAGCTCAAGCCCCTTATTCTCTTTATATGATCATTTCTCATTGATTTGCTAGAACTCCATAGAGTCCCACGGTCCCATAATTTTAATTAAGTGGAAACACTCTTTTTGAGTGAAATGAGCCTCTTGGCCCATACTACTTTTCTCATAAACCATATGAACTCTTCATTTTATTATAAGTAATCAACAAATTTCATTATAATCTCCTTTTAGAAAGCTTTAAAGGATAATTCTAAGAAAATGATTTTTATTAAAGGGAGTAATCTGTTAATTATATGCATGGACGTGATCTTTTTTAAGATACGTTAAAAGATACTTGAAAAGTGCGGGTTTGAAAAGACATCATAAAAAATTTTAAAGGTCGCTTTTTCTTAAGATACGCTCAGAAAGTCTGATGTAACTCGCACGTTTTGTATTTATAATAAAGTAAATTACGTCATAATCAGTACGTAAAACTAAAAATCATCGTGAATCATGATTATTAATTTAAAATAAAATCATGCATATATTATTCATGCAACAAATGATTATTAATTCTTTAAATTTAAATAGTTTTGCTGAATTTCATCCATGATATTCCGATTCACAAGTTTCTAGATTATCCATGCACTATATAGTCCGCGTGTTTGTGTGAGTTGACAGACACCCAACAAGGTTCATTTTGTAAGAACAACCTTATAATTAATTTATGATGATATAGACTATGCAATATGCATGCATACCTAAATTATTTATTTATTTATTTATTACACGTAAATATACCTCATGGCCTTAAATTACACAATGAAATATCATAAAACTACACTTTATTACGGATAATATTATTAGAATTAGAATATTATTTAATTGGTAAAATTGACTATACATACATCGCATATTTTCAGTGTTAATATTAATAATTTTACACTACGTGCGAAGAAACAAGCCACACCTCACCGGCCCACTTTCACAGTCCAAAAAGGCCGGGAGGCTTTAAATATACATCAACTAACAATATTAATTGTAAAGAGACTAAAGATATCATCATAAGACATTAATAAATAGAAAGTGAATATTTTTATGGTGACACCCTTTAAATTGCAAAATATATGAGAGCCACTACTTACTGTTAAAAGTAGTAATATACTCGGTAAATTAAATTGACCGGTTAAATTGTAAATACACAGAGCACGGTGAATTGATTTTAATAAAGTTGCAGACTTCTGACCCCTAAAAAAGTCGAGGTTATATTTCATTTAATTTAGGATGATCTTGTTAAAGTTGTGAACATTATTTGACCCTGTAACCAAGTAATATTACGATTATTATTTTTTAATTTCTTAGAAAAGAAAGTGTTGCAACGAAAATAGAACTGACCTATTACCCATAGTAGAATGGAGTTTGATAATGATCTCTTCTTCATCGGGTGTGATATTTCCTCTCTTTAAATCGGATCTCAAATAATTTATCCATCTTAATCTACAACTCTTTCCACACCTCAATAACCCTACATGCAATTTAAAACAGTACAAAATTAGTTTTGGGATTTCCAAAAAAAGCCAAACCTTTAAAAAAAATAATTAAAGCAATGATGCCAAATGTAAAATTCATTTATGTGATTTCGATCCTCAATATTATCATCAACTCATCAAGTAGGCTACTGAAACTTGTAGGATATGGCATATGCTCACAGAAGTACAGAATTATTTAATTAAAAATTTGTCTTTTAACAAAATTAAACAAAACGGAGTATTTTTTTAACAATTTATGGGTTCCACAAATTTAATTGTTTTTGGATATGAAGATTGACAACCAAACTGAAGGTGATACATTTCATTTCATCAATCTAATGAAGTTTTTTAGGACCAATTCCAGCAATATTTATTTACATGCAATTAAATATCATCACAATAATTGTTTAACACTTACAAAGTTTTTCAAAATATATAAAAGAATTCCCTTAAGTCATTTTCAATAGGTAAATTAATGTCTGTTTTTGTCCTATACAATTTATAATTATTTGCTTTTATCACATCAAAATTGACTACCTTTAACCATATATCAATTTATAACCAATGACACAACCTAATTAGTAGAAATTTAATAAAGAAATTGGAAACCTAATTATTTTTACTAAAATAATAATTACTTAGTTCTAATAATTTAACAAGGAAAAAAAATATAATAGTACTTTATGTACTTCTAAAACATATGAGGCCACATATTATATTATTATTATTATCCTATATTAATAATAATCTTATCTTCATAATACATACGAAAAAAATAAATTAAAATGAAGTAAAACCTGCATTTTTAGGCAATGATCTCCAAGACCCTTCTCCATTTTCTTGAATATATTTCAACAACTTATTATCTTCCTCATCCGTCCACCTCCCACGCTTCAACCCGACTTTTTCACAACACGGCGCTCTTCCCATCTCCGTGTATGTACGTTTGTCTCAAGCTAAGCAAGCTATCGAGGTCAGTCGATAATAAGAAGGATGGAGATCGATGACAAACCAAATAATATATAATATATATTGTGACACAATAAGAAAGTATTTAATAATAAATAACCAAGCAAAAGAAGAAAGAAAGAAAAGAAGATCAAAGATTTAGGTGTTTTTAGAAAGGAAAGTTTGTTATAGAGTGAAGAGTACTTGTAATAATATTTGGTGTGTTTTTTTTTTTTTTTTAGAGTAGAGTGTGATATTGCATGGGAGTAGTAGAAAGTGTACAATATAGTATAAGTTTATAGTTATATAATGTAATATACCGCAAATTTTAATATAAAGTGTGATAGTATACGTAGTATATATAATGGTTCATGAAATATAAGAGAGTGTAAAAGTTTATGAAAAGTGGAAGTAAAAGTGGGTCCATAATAATGGGTTAACGGCTATGGATGGGGCCACGTCGACAAGGAAGTGAAATAAGGAGTCGTGGCGTTTTGTGGGTCGAGACTCAAGAGCCTCGTGACGGGGCTTTCCCTCCCCCACGTTGAAGTCTAGTCTCTTACTTTCTCTCTCAACATCTCTAGCTTTCTCTCTCTAGAAATTCTACTTTCAATTTTTTTTTTTTTTTTAGAATTTTTTTTTTTACTATATAAAGTCTACACTTCTACTTGTAGGACAATCATTGTTTGGACAAATTAGTACTTTGATGGCTAGAGATTTGGGTTGTTATTAATGTTACAAAAAAAGTCACTCCTTGGAAACTAAAACTAGAGTTGGGTTTGTCTTTCGAGTTTTTACCCTAAATTTTGGGTTCGAATCTTGCATAAGTGTTATTGGAATGGAGATTATGCTATCAATTTCATTTTCTTTTTTAACTCCGAATAGTCTATGGTCTTATTTGGTAGTAAGCTTATTGGGGGTATATTAGCTTATTTGACTAACTTTAGCTGATTGACTAGTCAAACAAGCTAATATAAGTGTTTGGTAGAAAGTTTATTCAAAGAGCTTATTCCACTAAATAAGCTCTTTTTGAAAAAGCTCATTTTAGGAGTTTTTTCAATTAGCTTATTCATTAATTATTGTGAAATGACACTTATAACCTCATTTAATTTAAAATCCTATCTAAACTACCTACCCCACAATTAGCTTATTGGTCATTTTACATATTCAATCACCTTTAAGTTATCAGCTATTTACCAAACACTTTTATATAACCAGTTAATACAATAAGTTAGTCAAATCAATTAATAAAATCAGCTAGTCAAAATCAGCTAACTCAATCAGCTTTCAGCTTTCTACCAAACAGGGCCTATAAATATTGTGTTTTAAAAATTGTAAAATTTTCCTTATTAATAAAAAAATTGGAAGATAAATAAAGTTGTCAATTATTGGATAATCGATTAAAAGACATTAGCTAAATGATCAGAGTAGTTGGGAGAGAGATATATTAATATAATATAAACTAATGAAACTCTTAATTGTAAGTATTATTTAGGACAAATATATAAAAATTCTGATAAGAAAATCAAAAACTTTTGTATACATCCGGTTTACACTAATATTAGTGTACATGAAGTAGTATAAGGGTAACTTTTAGCTAATTTTAGGGTAATTTTTTGTCTTTTTTTGGGTAACTTTAAACATAATACAATTTTTATATAAATCAACAACAAGAAAAGTTTTATAAAGGTAATTTAATTACATTCAATCACTAATAATTGATTTGTAGTCATTTAAAATGTGATTCTTTACTAATAAAGCGTAGATAATTTTTATTTAAATTGGGTTACTTTAACGCATATTGGGGTAACTTTTATTCATTTCAGGGGTAACTTTTAATCACTTTAGGTTATCTTTATAATGGATGTACAATAATTATTGTACACCCGATTTTTTTAAAAGTTTAAGAAAATACAAGTAATCAATACTATATACTAAAAGACACACCAGCGATGACACGTGTCATCTCCTGGTGTGTCCTTAGTTATTTTTTTTAAAAAAAAAATATTAATTAAGGAAACAAATTATTTACAAAAATCATATATTTTTTTTGTACATATTCCATACTGACATGTTATAATTATTATATTTTAAATAAAAGATTTATTCACAAATCTTTCTAAAAAATATTGGGCAATATATACCAAAAATAAATATTTTTAAATAATTAGTGACCTATTTTACAATAATATATATATATATATATATATATATATATATATATATATATATATATATATATTGGTCAGTTTTTTTGCCTACTTTGTTTTGGTTGTGTATTGGAAGTTACAATTAAAATTGCAAATATCAAATTAACATATCACATACGTTTATTGTTTCTTGACTAATTTATAATTATAATATTTCTCAATCAATAATATATAACTATATATAAAGATCACCGTGCATGACACAGGATCTAACCTAGTATAGCTTAATATGATTGTCGATCAATAAACTACACAAGAAACTTATAGTGCGTTTTTAATAAGTTTTATCATTACATAAGTTGTGTTCTTTTCACTATTTTTTTTTTTTTTACCGGAGTACATTTACACTAGTATAAACATGACTAATCTAAACTTATTTGATCTACTTATATATTAATAAATTAATAAATGTTTTTTTTTTAATAGCAAAATATTTCATTAATTAAAAGTCATACGACATCTACAATAGAGATTTGGCGTTAACAAATACATAAGATATTGAATCAAATAGAATTTTCCTTAGTAAAAACTACGATCGTCGAGTAGATCTTGCACTGCGGAGCATCTCCCGCTCATATCGCTGAAAATTACAGCCTTGTTGGAGAGACAATCTAACGATCCTTTGTAGCCGTGAGGATGTTTTCCTTCTGATTCATCTGTCCGTATTCGAAAACTTGATAACTTTTTCACCAACGAAATAATTTCACGACAATCCATTAGATCTGCTACCATGGATTCAAAACCAAGAAATTTCTCCCTCGAAAAGAGGAGATAAATCTTGTCTTTCGAAGGAGGTCGAAAAACCCTTGTCTTTCGAAGGAAATCCGAAACCCTTTCTTTCGAGGGAGAAAAGTTCCTCCCAAAAGGAGGAAGCATTATTATAAACCTAAAAAAACAATAAAGAAACAAGGATTGGGGCTTTCCACCGATTAAAATCGGTGGAAGCCCCTTCAAAATTCAACAATGGAGGCTAGGGTTTTGGAGAGAGAGAGGAGGAAAAAAGGAGGAGAGAGTTAATTTAATATGTCATTTTTTAATTAATAAATGTTTATTATTCTTAACTTACCCAACCTTAATTGCCATATTTTTCTAAAAACTTATCTAAACACCACTTATGTCCTTAATTTAATTTGTGAACTCATTTTAATAAGATAGAACAAATCCTTATAGTACTAGATACTGTCCTATAGACAATGTTATCAATAATCTTTGGGTAAAAGATGATGTTTTCGACTTTGTACGTACAATATTGGTACTCAATTCTTAATAATGTCATTAAATATCAACAATTTTTGATTGGTGAAGAGTCTGAATATATATTTACAATTAATGACATGTTAATAATTACAATAATTGAATCTTAATTAAAGAAATATATAAGCCATATATAATTAGACACATAAAAATTCTATCGTAGTTGTCGACTACGGACGACTACGGTAAGAGATTAAATCTCATCCGTTTATTTTTTAATTGACTAATCGTAGCTGTCTAATTCGATACCTCAACAAAACAGTCATCAAGTTTAGTCATCACGTCATTAACACAATCATCAAGTCTAGTCATCAAGTCATTACACAGTTATCAGGTCTAGTAATAAAGTCATTACACAGTCATCAAGTCTAGTCATTAAATAGTCATCAAATCATTAATTCTAGTTTGGTTAAATTAATTTGTTTAAAAGCTTTTTTTTTTTTTTTTTTGGTTTCTTCTATACAATTGAATAAAAATATCTTATATTCATCTTCAACCTATATTATCTAAAACCTTGATGTTCAACCTACAACATTCATTCTTCTGGTTCAAAAATTAATTAAATTCTTATATTTTGTTTAATTTCATAATTAAATTGATCATCATATAATCAAAATTTTGGCTTCATATAATCGTATTTCCTTTATTCATGGAATACAAAATCAATGGAAAACTTCGTTCATAATCTCTTATTGTAGTCTCTTCACCCCCACCCTTTTCAAATTAAATTAATTTATTTAACGATTCGAACAATAATTATTTCAGTATTAGTCAAAATTATATTGAGTTAAACTTTGATATAATTTCAAGATTCATTTGCAATTGTTTTTCATAATTATTTATTTTTGAATAGCCATCTGCCATTGTTAAATGTTAAAGTTGAATAAAGGTTTGAGTATAGGTTGAAGATGAATAATATTGTTTTTTTTTGTAAAAAAAAAAAAAAAAAAAAAAAATATGTAAAAAAAACAACTAAAGTTAAAAAAAAATTAAAAGCTGAACAACACGTTTGAGACTTCAAAGGCATGATTTTAGGTAAATTTAATTTCTTTCTTTTATTCTCTTGTGAAATATATATCCTTTTTTATCTCAAGTTTGAAAAAATTAGCCAAAAAAAATTGCTTTGGATTAAAAAAAATATATATATACCATGGTCAAACAAATGAATAAATAAGATTTACTTTGGTCTAGATTATAAAGTAATATAGTAGCCACAATTTTTGTATGGCCATTGAATATCCTTTCAACAATGTATTATTTTAATAATTTTTTCGGCAAAGATAATTAAGGATAAATTTAGGAAAAACAATTACCATGATTCAAGGAAACTGTTTTTTTCCCCTAAAAAAGGAAACTATATTTTTTGAAACCATCACAACGTAAGTTTCAATTTTTATTTGCAAAAAAAAAAAAAAAAAAAAAAAATTGGGGTAAATAATTGTACAGTATTTTTTTTGACTAATTAGTTTTTTCAAACTTGAGATAAAAAAAGGATACATATATCCTGTTAAAAATATTCCAAAAAATCACCCTCTATATTTCAAAAAAAAAAAAAAGAAAGAAAGTAAATTTACCTAAAATCATGCCTCTGAAACGTCCTGTTCAGTTTTTAATTTTTTTTTTTTTTACATAATTTTTTTTAAAAAAAAAAATTATTCATCTTCAACCTATACTCATCTTCAACCTTTATTCAACTTTAATAATGGCGGATTGCTATCAAAAAAAATAATAATGATGAAAAAACAATTGCGGATGAATCTTGAAC